ACCAAAATAATGTTCATAGGCTGTCTTAACGATAGGTGTCATTTTACGTTTCTGAGCCTTAAATGTTATTTCACCACATATATAGCAAAAGCTATCGACAGAATTCACACACTTTCGAGGCATTTCAGATCAGCACTTAAATTAATTTAAAAATCAACTTCACACGATAATTTCAATAGCAACCACGTGCGTACAATTGACAAACTCACATAGGTTATGTTTACTACTTAAGAACAGCTGATGAGAGGGGTGTTATGTAAACAAACATGTGTACCAACTGTTGGTGATGAAATATTTCATTTGTTGAAAACTCAATATACATATATATAATATAATGATACTATATCTTGAAAACAAGAGCTAATATATAATTTTTATGGTCACTTTCGGTTTTAACACGTGGAAATACATTAAAATCATCTGATTTCAACCCCGAAACAAAAACTTTGTTGTGTTGTGCATCTCCATGTAAGTGTACACAATTTGAGCAGCCATATTGCTGTTTGGGCCAGCTTTTATATCGCCTGAAGGAAGGTTATTCAAGACAGCTTTAACTTTCAGTTTTTGAATAAGTTTTTCAGGGGATATGGGTTAGATTCTTTAGTTGATAATGCTTCAAGAATGTGGTTTGGCGGGTTGTCTTGGTTGGTACTTCTAATTGTTGGTTTGACTGGTTGAAAATGTCCGATAACATCGAAGAACTCAAGTACTCAAAACAGAACCTTATACTGGCAGTTTTGCAAAATATCTGCCACTCATATGAGAAGCGATATCAACTGCGGGGTACTCTAAGAAATCATTTAGCTTGGGCTAAGATGTTCTAAATTGAGGAATCAACTTGATTTAGTGCGCATTGGTCCACACCAGAACTTTTCTCATTTCAGAGTGAACATTTACGAAGTATATTTTTGAGTATTCTGAAAAAAATGTCTGGCCTGTCTCACAAGGTTCCAAAGTTTTGTTACCTCAATTATACGGGGCGCCCCATTCAAAACGATCCACAATCCTTCATATTCTAAGGTGCGGTAACCTGAAGGACAAGTATGGGGTCATTTTGAATGAGAAACTCGGTATGCATAGTTACCCAAGTATGAAAATAATGAATATATCGTAGATAATTGACAGCGAACTCAGTGCGATTGATGCAGCTACTCAAACATCACCGTCACTTTCCCCCAGCTCGACGAATCTCACGTGGGCATCGGATTGTTCCTCATCTCCGTGCCTGACATCGACATCGGATAGCGAGCTCCTCGATGAAGATGCTCATTCGACGTCTTCGAGGGATACCAGAGATCTACTGTTTTCTAATGGAATTTTTAAGCATCGCCGACAACAGGTGTTGGGCTCAAAGTCCTCATCTACCCCAGTGCTTAAGACGGGTCACTGTAAGGTGAGTTTAGCTGTTTTATATCTTGATGTTTTAGTTTTGAGGAGTGTCAAGGCTTCTGAATGAAGATCTTAGATGTTTTTGAGGGTGGGGAATCAAGAAACTGATGAAAATTGCATCCTTTTTCTTTCCGAGATTGATGAGTATCCATTGTTGAGAAATTCTCATTGCTTGAATGGCTATTTCCTGAAGTTCACGGTGATCGCTGATAACTTCAAAGTTTTTTATTATGAACTTGAAGTATTATTATTTCTGTATACTACCCCATAGTTTTGAATTATTAATATAATATGATATTGATTATGTTATAAATCAAAGTCCTCCGGTTTTTATCAATTGAGCCTACTTACTTTGGATTTTGTGTGATCTCAAAGTGAAATTTCGTAATCTACTTATACAAAAAAATATTATGTTCTGCAATTACTAAGANCGTGTTAGAGACTACAAGTATTATTCATCAGGGAATATCAATCATTCGTATTACGTTGCAATGCTCTTTATTCTTGATGGATATTAATTTAATGGTTTGTTGAGAGAGAAGATTAGAACACTATTAGGTTGAGAGTGGAGAAATGTATATTTCTATGAAAATCTAAACAGTTACATTGTCTTTGCACAACAAAACGTAGTTATCAACACGGCGATTTTTTAAAAATTTTATTGGTTTTCAAGAAGAAAGAAGAGGAATTTTGTGCTCATATAGAGTCACTTTCTAGAATTTTTTTCAATAATAACTTGTTACAAGGACTTTAGAAGTATTTTGAGTACAAAATATTTCTCGAGTTTTATACTGTGGATCGATTATACCAACGTTCTGAAAAACGAAAGGTACGAACTTTTTGATGACCACTGTATCTGTGGGTTCTGCATGATGACACTGTGCTTCCTAGAAGTGGATGCAAAGTAAATAACTTCATGTTCTTATCGTGATTAGGTATCAACGGCAAATATTGACCTACTTGTAATTCAAAACCCCCAAAATCTCAGAAAAGTCTAAGTGATACTTGACTGTACAGGGTTGGAGTTAATGTTTCATGATAGTGTATAGGACCTAGTGAAATTTTGTCGATTCCCACGGGCTGTTTTCAAGGACTAAATCAAAATATTTTGTAAAGTATGGACTCCAAAAGGAAGTCTTTAGAAATCGCCTTAATTCATGAGCAGTTATTTGATTCTATTGTATTTTCACATTTTTATATGCTAGTTTTTGTTAGACGATTTTTACTGGCATGTTAACTGTCAATTCAAATATCCATTGAACTTTTGAGGAAGTTAATCTTTATACATAGTTTTCGTACCATGTTTGGAGTCTTTGAACATCTAGAATATCAGCCAAAGATCGAACGTATGTCACATATGTGAATAGATATCGACTATGTTTCAGCTACAAAAGATACAAATTTCATCCGTGAAAAGGAGGAAAAAAGAATGAAATACTGAAATTCACTCGTCGAATTTTTACGTAATTTTAACGTAAATTTACGTAATTTTCGTAATCTCGTGCCATTTTGATTTCTAAACTTGCTCAGATTTTCACTGCATAAAACTGTTCGATACTAACTTCATAAATACATACGAGATCTGTTCAAAAAATAAGGTTGATGTTCAAAAAATAAGGTGGATGTTCAAATTTCAGTCATCTCAAATATACAATGCATTTTTTTAATGTCCCCCACTTTTATTTTTTGAATGAAATTATTGCATGAATTCTTTATTTTGAAGTGAAATTGACAGATAAAACTTTCAAGGTGGCGACTTGGTGCCATCTGGGAAAAAAAAATTGAATGGAAAGGTAGGTCTTGTGACACATCATTTTGANACATTATATTCTAGGGTTGTGAAGCATTTGTTAGGAGCTTCAAAAAGATGTGTCACAAAACCACCCTTTCCAATTAATTTTTTCCCATATGTCGTCCAGTCGCCATCCTGAAAGTTTCATCTGTCAATTTCACTTCAAAATAAAGTATTCATGCATTAATTTCATTATCCCAAATTTCAATTCTTTGAGTTGACCCGTTAAAAAAATAAAAGGGGGGGCATTGAAGAAATGCACTGTACACAGTTTCAGTTGTTTAGCATGTTCAGTTTGTTGGTGAAAGGCTTTAAAGTGTTCTGTCTTTTCATTTTCTGCGATAAAAAAAATTGAGTGCTTAAAAACATTTGAAATGTTGACAGTAGCATACGATGATTGTACTCTGAGTCAGAAACATGCACATACAAGTGGTACATGCTTTTCACAGAAGGTCGAGAAGATGTAAATGACGATGCTCATCCTGAATAACGCCCCAGCACATCAAAAACCGATGAAAATGTTGAGAAAGTCAAGAGAATTGTTATGGAGAATAGTCGAATTACTATTAGAGTAGTTGCTGAGGATGTTGGCATATCGGGTGGTTCATGCCATGCGATTTTTTCGGAAATTTTGGACATGATTCATGTGGTAGCGAAGTTCGTCGCATAACATCCCTCAGGAACTGTTGAATGACGTCAACGGTGATCCAGATTAGCTTTAAAGGGTCATATTTAGTGACGAATCATTGGTATATGGTTGTGATATTGAAACCAAAGTCCAAATTTACCTCATCTTTTGAACAGACCGTATTTATATACTTTTTTTATTTAATTTTTGTGATATATTCTCTAATATAATATATCACAGGCATTTTCATTATTGCCCTCCCATTCAAAATTTATATTTTAATTTTTTGTGAATGGTAAATCAGTAAAATAAATGAAGTCCTGAAAAAAACTTGTTTAGTAGAACGGTTTGCCTAACACATAACATAAAACTGTAATGAAATGGAATCCACAAACCATACACAAACCGTCAGCCATCAAGATCAAAATCTCTCGTTTTCAACCCATTCAACTTTTTTAATCATATCCATATGCATTAGTAAACTATAAAGGTAAGCTACATCGTGGCATTATCCGCTTTCAAATGGGATCATTTAAGAATGGAGCAGAATACCAAATGACTAACTTGATGAATGAATGTCCGTGTGTATTTTAGTAGTTTACGTGTTGAGGAAAGAAATTTTCCGTTGGTTGATATAAATAAGACAGCTTTATTGGGAATGCATTAAATATTTTGACAAGCAAGATAAGATTAAAATTAAACTGATACCCTTGGGCTGCTCAGTCTGTAATTAAAATAATCAGGCCAATGTTAAGTACCTTAATGTGATGAAAGTGTGAGACATTATATTATTAGTGCGAAATAGTATATCGTGCAATTAATTAAAGGTGATGGTTTAGTTGAATTGGATTGAAAGATAACATCATACTACTGGATGCATTTTGTTTTAAAAAAGGCAAATAAGTCAATCATTTACACCTATAATTTCCGTTTCTCAAGATGCAATTGACGTAAACAAAAATTTATTGTGCAAACCACTTATCAGAAAAGTATATCTTAGGCTTTATCTCCATTCAATATTAACCCAACTACAATATGAAAGTTCAGGTTAATATATATTTGTATACCCCCTACTAGTTTTTGTTCGAGTTGACGACTTGCATTGTCCGTCCAATTCATTTCAGGTATTAGCGTTGTACATGTAATATTTCGTCATAAATTATGGGAAAACTTTCATAGAAAACGATACGGTTTTACATTCTCATCGTAATCTGAAGAATTCGTGACTTATCTATGAAATTTCATATCGTTAGAAGTGCATTGATGAATAACAGGAAAAGTAGTGGTCCTAGGTTTGACCCCCGGGGAACACCTGAGTGGGTTATGGACTCATGAAATTTTATTCTTTCGTATCGAAATCATGAGATATGATTCCAATAATAGCGAGAAGTACTTAATGTCAGTGCGTTTTATTCTAGAAGCCGTACGTTTTACTGAAGTCAAAACATAAACTCAGTTGGGATTTGTTCACTTGAGATTATCTAAAGAGTTCGATATTTTTGCTGTTTGATTAAAAGGGGGTTGAGTCACAGTTTTCTCATGTGTAGTCAGCATATATTTTTTTTATATTTCACATATGAAGATGGTTTCAACTAAATCATACTATGGAATTTATGATGTACTGTTTGGAACCTTTGGTGTAGTAATGAATATTACTGTAGTTTTTTTCCAACACCAAATCGTTATTTTTAACACCTCGACACGTGTTTCGATCACCAAGTGATCATCTTCAAAGAGGAAGATTAAAACTAGAAACTAATGCGAAGCTAACCCTATTTATGCTATATAGAATATCGAATGCCTTAGATATGTCGAAAAAAAAAAATGCAATGAGTTTCCACTCCAAACATTCAATATGAAAGGGGAACAGATACTATTTATAGAAACGCTGCACACCGTAATAAATGAAGGAGCTTTGTGAATAAAATTTCACTTTCATGGAAATCTAGGATCCTGAAGGTGTACTTTTCGAAGTTTTGAGTCGAAAACACTTGTCTTCATCCCCTCACCAGCATCTCATGCATTTCAACCGAGTAGAGTTTATTATTTAGGATGTTCCATGAAGAGGGGCCCAGAACTGACCTCTGAGGAATTTCGTTAATTAGTTTGCTTGCGATTTCTAGCCGAATCCTTCTTTCTGATAGGTACGAGGCTATGGAGGTAATTATGAAGGTCTACTCCCTTGCTTCTCAGTCTATCTGTATAGTAAAATAACGATAAAAACCTTTATGAATGACATTTTTCATCTTTATAAAAAAACGTTGTAGGAAGCTTTCAAAGGAAAAAAACAATTAAGTTTAAAATGAGCTCTTTACGAAATTATGTAGATCATGCATAGATCCTACATACTTTTAGACACAAACTGAAAAAAAATCCCTCCAGAAACAACTACTTTCACATGCACATTGGATTACTGAAAAAAAAAATACTTTAGAAGCAACTAGTTTCATATGAACATGTTGTACTCCACACCTTTGTTATGGACTTGAATCCGATATCATTCATAGGAAAGCTACACAATATATTACATTTATATGAACGAGTTATGATATGAAATTTCACTCACATGGAAAACTATCATCATCAAT